ACTTACAGTGTAATCAGTGAGGGGATTCTACAGACTGTTGAGGGTTCAGCCTCCTGATGAGTCGGTGAAACTCCGACGAAACAGTTTGTCACAGCCCCTCGTTTGTTGTCCTCTTCTCCCTCTCTGCCTACGGTTTGCCGGGCAGTTCTATTTGACGATATATATATGTATGTATATGTTATAACAATTTAGCACTTTCATGAATTATTGATTTGAGTAATTAAACTATATTCAATTAATCATTGAATATACTACATATTTTTTCATACATAATACATATTTCCGTACGTTCCTCCTATAGGAGGGAAACATCATTGCAGGTCTGATATCATCCACTGCAGGCTCTAGGCTCAGACTACTGGACTGGTACCCCTAGACCTAGGCCTACCGGACTTCTAAAATTCAGTCGGCCTCTGAAGGAACATGTTGTCCCTACCTACCCACTAGCTATGTGCTTTTCAGCTACGTGGGCCTAGGCTACCTCTACACCCCTCTCCAATCCACAAAGCCACGGCCACAGGTAAGTACCAGGCCCGAGGGCCTTCCAAACAAAGAAGTATCCTGACGGGTCACACACACACCCAAGCAATCATGCCCTCAGACAAGCACACGGAAACCAGCAAGCACGCACACACACAAACTGAGAAATATCAGCAGCAAGCACGAAATCTCAGCATGTTAGACATTCCATGTATGTCCCCGCCTTGCCCGTCTCATGAATGTGATGATGCATGTGTGGGTCACGTCCTGAGTCGCATGAGTCAGATTGGTGCTTTTCGGTGATTCCTCGGTTCTGTGCCATGCCTATCTTGGAGATAGGTATGCGACATATGGGTCTGAAATTCGATCTGGTATCATCATCACACCTACTGTCACCCTAGCTGACAACAGGGCTCCCCCAAGCTGTCAAAAAATCCTGTAGGGTCTTAGTAAATTTGCAGATATCTCCCTCCTGAAACACCGAATAGGTGCACATCCCGGTACGGGCAAGCCAAAACATATCTCAGACAATAGGAACCTCAGCACGGACTTTGCAACGTGCAGTGATGTTCCAGATACTATGAGTAGGGGATGCAGATGCTCCTAGGAAGCAGATGAGTGTGTAGGCACTTGCCGCTCAACCACACAAATTTGGCCAAACTCGAACATTGTGGATGTGTAAGCACTTGCCACTCGACTACACAAATGCGCCAAAATTTGTACAATGTGTGCTCAACTCAAAGAAAAGTAAGTGGGAAAGAAGTAAGAAAGTGCAGGGAGAAAGGGAAGAAAGTGAAAAATAAAAGTTTGTGTAGGAGTCTACCCTCCTCCGCACCACCTCCTAACACTACCCAGCCAGGAATCTCAAAGGCAGCAAGGAAATTTGGTTCAAACTTCAAAGTTCAAACTACTCAGGAAGTTGGCACTCTGGGTCATATGGAAGTGCAGATGCATACGGGACAATCGAGGGAACAGAGGTGGCAAGGGAGGAAATGTGGTCCCTACTACTGAGCATGGTTGAAACCGAAATCCGGAGCAGATGGTGAAAGATAACCTCAGCATCGAAGCACAGGCCAGAGAAGTACGTGATCAAGAGACGGGCATTTCTGAGAGACTGGCTGTTATGGGGAAAGATCGCTACCATAACTGACAGCAGGCTGATATGGAAGAAGTGGCTCCAGTCGGAGCCGCAAGGCAACGTGCTTCATGAAAGTGGGCCAGTATGGAAGACATTCTCCCTGAAGCCCAGACAATCATGGAAAGGAAGCTGAACTTCCCATGATTCTTGGTACACAGATCTCCATTTGACAGGCCGCGGTGTGGTGCCTGAGCGGAATTAGTTGGGGAGGGCAAGCTGACAGTCAATCCTCATACTAGGGAGCAATAAATGCTGGTCAGGGATCCTTCGGCCATACGGGAGGAAGCATGAGTGTGTACATTATGTATCTCAATTTTAACTTGCCGGGGGAATAGTAACCGGACTGACGCTCCCCAAACTGGACAAGGAGCCAGGACCGTAAGAATCTGTTTACAAAAAAAAAAAAAAAAAAATTGTGTAGGAAAAGGAGCAAGAAACTCTAAGAAAGTGAAAAAAAAGAAACGAAACTTGAAGAAAGTTACCACTTGCAGTTGAGTTTGGAAGTTTTGCATTCGTGACTACCTTACGTTTGAGCCTGTAGAGGTCTTTGGCTAGGGGGGAGGGGCTCCACCTGACAGAGAAGGATTGGAGACCATGCGGCCCCCGAATCTGGAATTATTTTCACTTTGTGTATGATTGCCTTGGGCACTGGGCCCTAATCAATGGAGAAAGATTGAAAAAAAAAAAAAAAAAAAAAAAAAAAGAACCTTGAAGAACCTTGAAAAAAAGAAAAAAACGGAAAAGGAAGGGAAAAGGGACAAAGCGGAAGGAGAAACGGAATTATGTATGCTGTGCCTTTGTCCCTTGCTTGCCGGCATGCGCTGAATCAGGGCGTTGACCACAGTGAGCATTTTCACACATGATATAGAGAGGATGAAGAGGAAGATGTTGCGGAAAGAGATAGGGGGATGTGCTTCTCTCCCCTTCTCAAGCAGAACAAAAACACAGTAAAAGAAAAAAGTCAATTGCTGCAGTGTGTTACCCATACCAGTATTGTTAATATGTTGTGCGCCGATTTTGGCCACCTGTTGCCACATTGCATGTTGCTGATTGCTATCTATGGTGAACAGGTATTCAGAGATGAACTTCAACTCGTGAAATTGTCCGCATAGAAGGGGAAAGTTATGATTAAGAAATGTGATAAGGAAACAAGCGAGCAAAACTGTGTACATGGAGAGTGTTTGTCATTCAAGAAGACCTCTGTCAAAACATGGCACACAGTCTTATGAGTTCCCAGCAGGTGTTGTGACGTGCATACCGTATATGGGAAGCAGGCGGTGGGATCCTTGTCAAGGGCCCAGGACCAGAGAAGACATCCGGGTCCGAATTTGTGAGGGGTTGATGCAGGTCGGCTGCAAGGCAAAATTGAGCTCATGAGCACGAGTTAGAATTTTGTCGCGAAGAATTTTCAGTGATTGAGAAGCATCAGGCAATGGAACTGAGACAGACGGGATGGATTCATATATGTAATTGCTGCTAAGGAACTGACTCCCATTCAACAGCGTATTGAAGGCTGGGAATCATGCATGGGGTTGCAGTCACCATGGAGACCTCTTCAAAGAAGTGTTTGGCTCAGAATCTGAGTCTTTCTTCTGATGATGGACAAGTGCAGAACATACAGGCATCCACAAAGCACAGTGCATTTCATTGTGCCTGGTCAGGGGATGGGGTTGTTTTAGGATGTACAGAGCTACCAGATGGCCATTCTGTCGTTACATATGCTTGGGCAACATGGCCTAGTGCTTCTTTTCCATGTTTTTCTTCCTTGTCCGGTGCAGTTTCATGTGAAGCAGGTCTTTGAGGGATCCTAGGAGTCGTACTGCCCATTAAGATCTCAGGAGACTCAACTATTTCTGGTTCCCTTGCAATCAAGTGGATCCTTTGTGATAATGACATGCTTGTCATAAGGTGTATCACAATGAATGGAAGCGAATATTGGATTGCTTTCAGGATCAGCAGCTGGATCTGAGAGCCATATGGTCCCAACAGGTTCACCGCTTTACCATTTTTGATGATGATGAGATTCTTGCATCTTGAGGGAGAGATATGATGCCTGTCTTCCAGAGGCAGCAAGGCTTGCATCAGTTGTTTGCAAAGACCGTGACAGCCGATGGTTGTGAAGTCCAGGGGTTGGGGGGATGCTTTTCACATCTATGACCAACCAGTCTGAAGGAGCTCTATGCCTTACAGCTGCTTCAGAAGGAAGTCATTCCTGAGGTAAGTCCTTATTATTTATATGATGGCTCTGTGCCTTAGAGCTGCTTCAGAAGGAAGTCATTCCTGAGGCTGGATGAAGAGGACTGCTGTCATCATCTGTAGAAAGTTATTCAGCACTGCTATATGTCCCAACTTGTCAAAGAAGTTGACAAAAACTATTTCTGGCATGGTGCCGCAACTTCATGAAAGTCGTGAAAGATTGTGCCTGTTCCTATTGTGTCAGGAAAGCATAGCGAGGATGTATATTTACAAGGGCGTAAAAGATAAGGCTATCATCATGCAAACGAAATGCAACAGCGTGCAACTGTTTCTCAACCAGCAAGTCACTGGCCCTGAGTTGGGGAGCCAATTGCATGCATCCATGTCTAAGGCCAGAACCGGTTCAGGAGTGACAGGTTGTGTTTGGGTTTGTGAATATAACAGTTCGTTTTTCTCCCATCTCTCCCATCTAAAATGCTGAGAAATTTAAAATGTCAAGACAATTTTCAATGGCATAGCAAGGATTCAATTTTGAAGTCTTCCAGGTGATAATGAAACGTTCACTTTGTATCCCTTTCCAAAGCTGCTGTCCACTCCCAGAACACAAGTCAGAGCTTGAAAGGTGGCGGAAGCTGCAGAAGGCCGCAACGCGTCACAAAGCCAGAGGCTCTTTAGAGAGATGCGTGTTGCTCCTGAAAACCAGTGTTCCCTAGACTCTTCCCCCTTCTTCAAATGTCCTGAATGATCAGCAGAGAGTTCGGCACTGCAACTATGCAAACGACTTCAAGCATGGCACGCCTCCACATACTTTTTGGCATCTTTCATCATTGTGGTCCATCAGAATTTCTGCACTGAGTTTGCAATTGTCTTGTTGTAACCAAAATGTCCGGATGCGTCGTGACACTCACCTAAAAATAAACTACGCAAAGATTCTCTAGATAGAATACACAAGCGTTTATTCCCGGCCTTCTCAAGGAACAGCAAGCCATCAACCAGCACAAACTCATCTGATGTGGCCTTGTCTTTAGCCTCAAGTTTGCACATGATCTCAGTCATGACTAAGTCCTCTTGATAGCCTTCCACCAGGGATCGAGTTACATCATCCGATAGCATGCCCTTTGCGATAGTTCCATCAGCCACTTTGTTGTACTCTCCCTTCAGAGGGTCGAGCTTGAACTCGTACACATCAATGACTTCAATCCACCTCTGGAGTGCATCGGAGTGCACAAGTTGTGTCTTAATCCAATGCAGCTTCTCATGGTCTGATGTCACATAGAAGAATCTGCCTAGGATCTCCAATGGGTCAGCGCTTTATAGAGGGCGTAGAGCTTTCGCTTATAGATGGCATTTTTTTGCTCATGCACTCGATCAGCCTCAACTTCTTCCCCTCCTGCGCAAGGACCGCACCTATGCCATATTGGCTGGCGTATGTGGTCACAACGAAAGACAGCTCGGTATCTGGAAGCTTGAGGACTTCATAGTGCATGGGGGCATACTTCAATCTTTTGAAGGTTGCCCCACACTCTTCGGTCCACTCCCACGGGGTGCCACGGGTGTGAGATCAGTTAGTGGGCAAGCTGCAAAAAAAAAAAAACAAGAGTAGATATTCCTTGCAATACTACAGTTTTTTTGCGAATGGGCGGTAGTAGCCCGTCATCCCCAAGAATGACCTCATCTCAGTCACAGACGGAGGTCTGGCCACTTTTGCATCATCCGGCCTCGGACCATCTGCAGAAATATTACGACCCAAGTATAAGATTTTGGTGCGACCAAATTCGCATTTTTCCAAGTTAACCTTCTATTGGAGCTTTCTTACGAGCCCTTGCACAATTTTCACATGCTCAGCATCCTTTACAGTCCAACTAAAGGATATTGTCTAGGTACACGACGATAAACTTGTCTATGCAGTCATGAAAAATCTGGTTCATTGCGTGTTGGAACGTCCCAGGAGCATTGCATAGACCGAAGGGCATCACTACGAACTCGTGCAGACCTTACCTGGTCTGGAAAGCGGTTTTGTATTGATCCTCAGGTGTAATGGCAATCTGATGGTATTCGGACTTTAGGTCTTTATGAAGTACCGAGATCCCTGCACTTTAGGGGCTCTGCGTTCTTAACAGTGATGGCATTGAGGCCCTTATAGTCAATGTGCATCCTTAGGGTCCTGCCTTTCTTTGAGACTAATAAAACTAGCGTATTGTAAGGGGATGTACTTAATCGGATCCAGCCCATCTGTGTGAGCTCCTTGAGCTGGCGGCGGAACTCGTCTATCTCCGCAAGAGACATTTTGTATATTCGCCCTCTAGGTACCTTGCTGCTCGGAACGACTTCAATTGCATGGAGAACCTTATTTTCTACCACACCCCTAGGCTCCTCAACAAGGTTTGAATACTGTGCACTAACTGCTTATAATGTGCAGAGTGATTTTATGGCCTCCCCTCTCTTTTTAATGTGCATTTGCAACCACAACTTTCCATTAGTCTACTAGCCTTGAATTTTTGCAGTCTAACGGTCCTTCCTTTTGGCAACTTGTGAATCATCACCTTCCTACCCCAATCGAACTGAGACTTAGCAACCTCGAGGTATTACATGCCTAGCAACATGTCAAAAGGCAGCTCGTCACTCACTAGCAACAAGATAAACTCCCCTCCTCCATAGGTCAGTTCCCCTCCTCCATCGGGAGTTGAGGTTACTTCCTTGACATACGTCTTGGACTATCATGGAGTGTTTGTTGGCTAAGATAGATGTTACAAACCTGCTAAGTTGTTGCACTTGGTCTCCTAAGCGCAACATATTCACACAACCACTAATGAAGTTTTGCGTAGCACCTATATCTGTGAAGGTGCCAACCTTTGGGCTTCACGAAATGTTCACCCTTTGGACCTTTGTTCAACATTGTCTGGGAGTCTCTAGGGTTTTTTTCTAATCGCTGAGTCTCTAACTCTTGTAAGAACCTAGACGCATCCATTGAACAGAGTATCGATTGGTCTGGATCTGTTTGCAGAGCGGTAAGGGGGTCAATTGCTTAGGCCATTGTTTGAAATGGAGAGGGTAAGGTAACCACTTCAACACGAGTAAGAGCGATTGACACTTCCTAGGCCGAGCGGCCTCCCAGCAACCGGTACCTTTTCCCTTTTGGGGGGAAACATCATTGGGAGCTATGATATCGTTCGGACAGGCCCTAGACTCAGGCTACTTGGACTGGTACCGACCTACCTTTAACCCACCTCTATACTAGGCCTTCAGAAATGCGAACTTTTGTCTTCTTTTGCTCAGCCTCCAGACACTTCTACCAGTACTTGAGAGGTACCGGCCTACCTGCTACTTTAGTGTTTCCCGCTGCTCTAAGTGTCGCGGCCTACCCCCGCTACTTGAGTGTTTTCCTCGCTGCAACCCTCAAAGCCACAACCACAGGTAAGTACCGGCTCTGCGGGGCCTTTCAACCAACAAGTACCCTTGCGGGTCACACACACACTCAGACAGGCACGCACACACACACAAAAATCACAGAAGAATGAGAATCTCAGCGAGGCATTCATTCCGGCGACAAATCCCAGAAATTAGTAGTGTTCTCAGTCTGTGTTTTGGCGGGTCATTACACTACCTACCTCTCAAGAGTGAGTTCCCTTCGAGCGAGTCATTCATTCAGAGTCGGCACAAAACGTGTCGTAGGCGTAGATGAGAAAGAGAGTTTTGGTATAATTGTGAGGAGTGAGTGTTGCGAAAAACTTAGCAGTTTGTCCGTCGACGATCTGCCGTTTATAAGCGTTAAGAACACTAGGAGCATTCTTTAGCAGTTTTGTTTTGTCGATCCATAACTCGTTGAACGGGTGATAAAGGAAGTGAACTTTGTACTCTATTCCTCCCTCTTACTCCATGGGAAACAATTCTGTCTATTTCGTGGGCACCGTTGATAGCACGAGGTATTACAGGATCTCGGAAGGGACAAGTCTTATCATCGATGAATGAAAACAATTTGGACGCGAGAAAGACCGGATACGTGCGCAGATGAGGAGGCACGTCAATTACATACGAAGGACCAAAATCATCCCCTACCACCTTTAGAACTTGCCAAGGGCCATAGTACAGTGGAAGAAGCTTCTGTGATACGCCCTCTTCGTTAAAAAATTAAGGCATTTTGACCGAGACATAACTTCTTACTTCGAAGTTCCCTTCTTTGCGCGACTTGTTAGCATGTTTGATCATAACATGCTGATGCTTGTTCATTGTTGCGATAACATCTTTGAGCAAGCGTGCACACTTGACATTGTAGCCAGGCATGTCGGGCGTCGGGCCAGGTGATCGATCGGGGAACAAACAAGAGAGCGGATTGCGCAACTGCCAATCATATAGCAACTGATTTGGTGTCACGCCGGTTGTAGAGTGAATAGAGTTTTACAACCCCTCCATTTTGTGTGTTCTGATCGGGAACAATTAACAAACAAAGCAGTTGAATGACAGTGTGGTTGATTTCCTCGGCCAACCCATTGGCTTCGGGATGTCGACCAGAAGTCATGTTGAGTTTAATATCGTAGATTTGAGAGGTGAAGTCTTTTCAATCTTCACTAATGAATCTGGTGTCCCGAACACTCACAATAGTTTTCGGGTGGCCATACTGCATAATGTACTGTTGATGGAATTCTATAGTCATAAGCTCAGTTAGGGCATGAGGAGGTAAAAAAAACAAATTTAAAAATTTGGAGAAACGATCCATGATGACCATGACTTGTGAATTCCCTTCCTCACTCATCTTTCCCATATCCGTGAAATCGATGGAAATCGACTCGTCGGGTCCATCGAGAGATGCGATAACAACTTAGAGCAAGCGTGCACACTTGACATTGTAGCCAGGCATGTCGGGCTTCGGGTCAGGTGACCGATCGGGGAACAAACAGGAGAGCGGATTGCGCAACTACCAATCATATTGCAACTGATTTGGTGTCACGCCGGTTGTAGAGTGAATGGAGTTATACAACCCCTTCATTTTGTGTGTTCTGATCGGCAACAATTAACAAACAAAGCAGTTGAATGACAGTCTGGTTGATTTCCTCGGCCAACCCATTGGCTTCGGGATGTCGACCAGAAATCATGATGAGTTCAATATTGTAGATTTGAGAGGTGAAGTCCTTTCAATCTTCACTAATGAACCTGGTGTCTCGATCACTCACAATAGTTTTCGGGTGGCCATACTGCATAATGTACTGTTGATAGAATTCTACATTCATAAGCTTAGTTAGGGCATGAGGAGGTAAAGGAATCAAATTTAGAAATTTGGAGAAACGATCCATGATGACCATGACTTGTGAATTCCCTTCCTCCCTCGTCTTTCCCATATCCGTGAAATCCATGGAAATCGACTCGTCGGGTCCATCGAGGGAGGAGTTTCAACAGGTCATAAGGCTTATGCCTATAGACCTTAATTTTTTGACAGACTTGACATTCAACAATAAACTTCTGAGCAGATCTCTTCATCGCCGGCCAATCAACTTGCTGCAAAATACTTCCATAACTTTTCTTAAAGCCAAAGTAGCCACTATGACGATGTGCCAGATCCAAGAAATGAGTGCGGA